TTGTGACGAGTGTCTTTCCTGCTTGGTGTAGGAGGCTGGACCCAATGATCTTCAAGGTCCCTTCCAGCCTTACAATCTATGAATTACCACACTGCGTGTTCTTACTCCATGACCCCTTTTTTGACTAGAAGGGGAAGAAAGAGCTGAGGCCAGTGGCTTTTGTGATGAGTGTGACAATTATTAATGCTGAATCTGGATCAGTTACCACAATGAGATTTTATTTATTTATTTGTTTAAACCACAGAGCAGAAAGGGTATTGCCACATAAGGATCTGTTCAGGTGGCAGAGCCAATGGGGAAGAAAAAAAAAAAGAAAGAAAAAAGGGGTCATCAGAAGGACCATTAAGAAACACCAGAGCAAGTAGCCTTAATTGTTCCAGCCTTCTCTCCTACTTAGCACCCAAGAACAATTTGAACAGCATAAAAGAACCCATTCAGACTCACAGGAGCATGCATTGGAGCTTACTAGGAGAAACAGGTAGTTTCTGTTCCTAAAACTCAACAGGGAAGCTTATCTTATATTTCAATCCAAGATAAGTTAGATTAGGAGAAAAGTACATTTACAAGCATTTCTAAAATCCAATTTATCCTAACATTTTCTTCCAGTTATCCAATAAGTGCATTTTGCTTTATGCCTTGTATCACTGATCCCCAAAGACAAGATATGGAAACCAAAAGCCAGTTGGACATGAAGGGTAACATACAAATGTACAAGGCAATGTGCTTATATCCCAATTTAAGCGCAGTGAAGAGGTACAGACAGGAGGCCCAAAGATGAGACAAAGATGCTTTCCAAGACCAGAAAGGAAACACACACAGATAGCACATGTACTGCAGTATCTTTAGATTCAGTGCAGACAACCCAGGCATATGCAAAATGGAAGCTTGGCTGAAAGCTACCAATGGCTAGAACTGCCATCCATTACAGCAGCTGGAGTCTAGAGTCAATCTTCCAATAAGACTGGGAAAGAAGGGAGAGCAAAAAGCCTGATCAGTTCTGAAGAGATGAGCCCACTAGAGAGATTCTAGGATATGGTTGCCTCTAAGAGCCTGCCCTGTGTTTCCCTACATGGGAATACACAGTTGAGATGTGCAAAACATTTCCTATAAAACAAACTATGCAGAACCTTGGATTAGTTCCAATACCAAAGTCCACAATACGTTCACTGAAAGGTTTAACCAAAGCAGTTCTTATAAGCAGGTATACGGCCCACAGCTACTGAAGTCAATGGACCTTTTGTCACATTGTAAATGAAGCTGAATCAAGTGCAGCATTAGTCAAGTCTTTCAAATCTTCATATGAAAAGCTCTAGTGTCAAGTAATAATGCTGACAAATCTAGACACAGTTTAGAGCAAAAGCCAGAATAATTAGCTTTTTGCCTCCAACTCATTGTTTTTCATTTTGCAGTCTTGCTGAAAAGTGACACTAGCAATGAACCTGGATGCCAGAGATCTGTTGTCTGTGGCTGACACAAGCTTGTGATGTGATCTCAGTCATGTAACAATCTGCATTTCAGTCACCATTTGTAATGGGTCTGTCCCAGGTTTCCCTGCATCAGAGATATGGTAAGGATAAATTTATTCAACTTCAATAAGTACCTAGATACTGTGGCAACAGGATGCAGAAACTGACTGCATAGATTCAAGTACTCTGCAATTCTCAAGTTTTCAGTTAGCTATATTGGATTTGGAGGCCTCAGATTTCAAGACTCTTCTACAAAGGCAAATACTGAGTTAGGTTTTGGATTGCCTTCCTGGATTCCTCTGAACCTACAGATGCTGTCACGGGAGGGGGAAGAGAAAAGAGAAATACTTCACAATACTTCCTGCTGACAGCAGCCTCTAAAAATCTGAGGAAAGAGGGGACAAGAGTCTTTCCAAACACCCACCCCCACAGCATTTGCAGACTGCCAGTGAGGACAGCACATTAGCTAACAATAGGTATGAATACACACCAAGCCTCAGCTCCTGAAGCTGTCATAGGAATTAAACCAGGCCAGGTATGGAACAGTTGAAATAGTTTCCCTTTTTAAAAAAAGAAGGGAAGAAAGGATGCCCACAAATATATAGCTAATTGAGTTTACTTGGAAACATTACTTTGTGCAATCTCTTTGAATTCAGCCATGTCAGGTTACTTTGTGCATACAAGAGACAACTACAGGCATTTTTACAGGCGCTCTGGGATGTGGAGCCAGGCACTTTAATTAGCGAGCTGTGCTGATTAAAAGCACCTGCATGTCACATGCATCAGTGTCCTTGCACTGAAAAAATGGCAGTGGGGCACTTTGAAATAAAACACATTCGATGAGCTTCAGTTCAAAGCGCCCCACTGCCATTTTTCCAGCAATGTTGATACATGCGACGGGGACGTGGAAGGCTGCCAGAGTGTGTCAATTTCCGTGCTCCAGCAGACTCAATTAAATCGAGTCTGCTCCAGTGTGCTAGATTTCTCTACATGTGTATAGGAACCCTATGTTTTAGACGTAGTGAGCTTTGCGTATTGGAATGTCAAAATATCATGCCCATGCATCTTGGTACATCAGTTTTTCACAGAACAGTATTTGGGACACCATCTGTAATGTTTTTCCAGGAACATGGGGCACAAGTAAATAAACTTTTATTCAGACAGTTAAGACCCAGATGGCAGGATGTTTATGAAGAACAATTAATAACTTAAGATAGGTGTAGTCTGCCCAAGTAAATAGCAAAAGGAAGGTAAGTAAGTTCCAAGGAAAAAGAAGTTACTGATGCTAAAGAGGTTGCAGCTGCTGAAGTTAAGTTTTAGGAGAAAGATGAAGACTGCTTTCAGCAACACATTCCACTATTAAAAAAAGCTATCGCCTCCCAATGGTGATGCAAGTGCTCCATTGCTTGAATCATTATAAATGGAAGCAATAATGCATTAGAGTACACCTCCACTTACTCACTGAGTGGGTACAGGGACCAGGAGGCATCCAAATCTCCTTCTATGCCCAGATGCCCCCATTCCACAATCTGGACTCTCTGCAAGGCTAGAAGAGTGAGAACGAAGCAACCATGCATGTACTAAGGAGGGAGTGCAGATTAAAATGCTTCTAAATATAAATAGCATTCAGCAGCCACATAAGAGTTAACCCCTTTTCTGATCATGAGTTCTGCCTGCTCCCCTCCCAACATGCATGAGGGAAGGGAAAAGAGGGAGGATCTATTCAACTAGGTCAACCTTATTCTAAAGAGATTAGATGTGTAATCCAGCCCCTCCCCCACACTCCAAGCATAGAGGCAGGGGGAGGAGTCAACAGCAGCAAACAGTCACAAACCAGAGGAGAGGGGTGGTTCAGGACAGGATGTTTGTATACATGATTGATTTGCTTTTCTAGCTGCCCCTCCCTACCCAAAAGTTCCCTTCTGCTCATTTCGGCAGGCCCCAATCTGCCCAGCTGAGTCACTGTACTGCCCGGAGGGGAGCAGCACTCTTTCCTACCTTTTATAAATTCAACAGGGTTCAACTTGCTTAGTGTTTGGGTGGGAACCCTTATATGAAGAGAAACCAGACTACTGAAGTCGGGTCACCACTCCACAGACTGACACTGTCAGACAGTGCCCAAGCCTTCAGACACCATCAGGTATAGGCTCCTGATAGGATAGTTGAACAAGGCCAGAAGGGAACATCTGGAGCACCTGGTCTTGGATACCCCATAAGGGACAGCCACCATGGTCCCATTATTATTTGGTTCAATAGCTCAATTTAATCCGTGTGTACTGGCATTTAAGATATTGGGTTTTACTTGCTAAGGAAGTAGAGTCTTCTATTGCCACAACCAGTCACTTTGTCCTTGCAGGGTGCCATGGAAGGACAAAATTTACTACTCGTTCTGCAAAAGCTCCATAGCTTGCACAAAGGTGTGGGAAGGAGCCCTCGAGCCTCCCCCTTCCCTAAAGGGCAGGGTGAAACAGATTACAGCAAGGGCAAAAAGGAGGCACAGACATTCTTCTGCAAAACTTCATGAAATCTTTACCTTTAAAGAAACTCTGCAGCCTGCTCTTCACCCACCATCCTTTAGATAATCAAAGATATTGATTCGCATGCTCGTGCAGATACTGAAACCACTGACAGCCCATTTGAGAAGGATCTCTTTGTTTTTCCCCCCTCATGCCACTGCAAGTACCTTCAAGACTTCCCTACTGTCCTCCTTAAAAGCAATTTCCCTGCCATGACACCTACAAGAGGATCCTCAATGACAAGGTAGCCAACTTAACTGCCATTACCTTTTCCATCTATTTTTAGATTGTTTATCCATTAGCTTGCTGCTGTTAGTTAGCTACCAACTGCAGTTGGGGAGGGGGCAGAAGCTGGGGAGGGGAGGGACAGGACCGCATTGAGTATCTGCCCCAACCACTAATGCATTATGAACAAGCAGTGCACAAGATAGCTGTGGTGCTCATGGTAAAACACAGGAGTTTAAAGGTCTCCCCACACCCTGTTAACACCACCAGAGAATTCTGATACTAATTCAACTGCCCCTGCCCAGAGAACAGTCGCATCAGGTTATCACGGAGTCATGTCACCATGGGCACCAAATTATATATGCATGGACACCTCCATTGTCTAACATGCTGACTGTGCCTCCCCTCTCTCTCACACAGCTAGCTTGCACAGAGGGTCAGAGGCTCCTGGTTACAGACACCTCTGCTTTTACTGCATAAGGCCCCAGGCTCTACTCCAGAAGCTAACTCGAGGGGATATTTGAACACCTGTAGATCTCAACCATGCTTCCCATTATAGGGGCAGCACAGACTATTTTGATAAACATGGCAAATTCAGACGTTAGACGGCTTTCATGTTACAGTGGCAGAAACAGCTTCCTCAACTCCCACTTTCACTGACTGGAGAACAAGAGTCTCAAGTCACGGGGAGACACCTGAGAAGTGACAACCTGCTGATGGGCTTGAGCGCCATGTGTCCCAGCAGTCTACTTGGTGACCACCCTTTGCCCAGTCGCACCTGCTGCATTGCCTCCCTCCCCTTGTTCCCAACTGTAGCTGTCTCATGTAGCAATAGCTGATAGCAGGCAAGCTGGGCAGAAGCCAGACCGGATCATTTTCTCTGAATAAACAGCAAGGCAGGCAGGCAGGCAGGCAGAAAGTCAGCAGGGCCAATGGAAGAACAAGGAGAGAGTATGTGAGAAAAGGGAACTAGTGCAGAAAGGAGGGGGATAGAAAGTTTCCATTTCACTTTACTTTGAACCAAACAATCTAGTCCCTCTGCAAACTGAGCATCTACCCTGCTGCAGAAGAAGCATTTACCCCTTTCTAAAAGGACAGTGCACAAGAATCAGAAGGAAGCAACAGACACACACAGCATCTGTAGTCATTATACAGAGGAAGGTAACAGACCTCAGTGCAGGTCAGCCCCTTGAGCATTCAGAGCAGGGCTCTCCAGCTTTTAAGTGAGAGGGGCAGCACACCACATGGGCCACATCAGTGGGGATGCCCACAGCTATTGCTGCTGCATGGGTATCACACCCAGCCTCACACTCAGCACCGTAGGGTGTACCAGCCAGGTGGAAGCCTTGGGGCTCACAAATTAACCCCTTGTAGTACTCTGCCTGCTGTTTCTTGTCCCATCTACTGCTATACTTCCTGCCCCCTCCCCAATCTGCCACATACTGCACCCGGAGTCTGAGCATGCCACTGATCAAGAATATGGACGTAGGTGTATTGAAGAAGACTCTCTTCAGGACGAACAAGGACAGGTAGGGCCATTCAAACTGCCCATCTAACAGCCTTATAGACCGTTAGGTCAGACGGATATTGGCTTCTACGGAGATTCTGGGTACACCCAGGACATAAACATGCATTTTTGTAGTCAGTTGTCTCACTCACCTGATGAACAAACACATCCTCTTTGGTATCATTTCTGTGGAAAGTGTGAAGAGAGAGAAAAATATCATCATAAAACTACGTCTTAAGTCTGTCATTTTATAGCAGGGTCCCTGGGGTTCACCCAGTCAGCCCCTCCCATCCTCCACTTAATCAAGGAGCAGAGCCTGGGAACAGACATCCAAGAGGCTCCAATGGGAACATACCACCAGGATCCCATGTGCAGTACAAGCCTACTCCATCCCTCCAGACAGACCCAGCTGTGAATTCCCTTTGTAGCATTTCCCTGCCAGCAAGGGATTTTCCACCTTCCCCAGGGACCCCCTTTAATCCATGGGCAAATATCCAGGGTTTAGTTTGACATAGGCAGCCAGTCTATTTAATTCTCCCTCCTCTGATCCCCTGTTCCCCGCCCCACCCCACCATGGCCTGCAACCTGAGCTCCTAACGCGTTGTCCCAGAGGTCAAGTAAGACTGTCAACAGGACTGGGCACAGCTGTTAAGAGGGCTCTCCTTTCACTGAAACCCAAAACAACCTAGGATAGGAAGGATTAGGAATGCTCACTGAGAGAGGGGGAAGAGCCAGACATGAAAGAGAAAATAAACTTATTAGGACAGTCTAGACAATCTTCTAGCCACTGCAGGATTTTGCATGCAACTGATCTACTTTCATCAGATTGAGCACTCACTCTGTATCTAACAGATGCACTCAGACTGAGAAGCTGGACCCCCCGCCCCAACACCACTAATGGCCATCCCTTCTATTTCATTTACACCAATGCTCACTTATGAAAAAGGTGCAAGGGCAACAGAACTCATTTCGACAGTCAAGGGGTCCAAGGGACCCTGCTCCCTTCTCCCCAAGATGTTTCTCCTTAAAAAGTGTTACACTTCAGAGTGTGAGCCAAGAACTAACAGCCATCAGAAGGTCCCTTATGAATGGATTATTCTGTAATTGTTCACTATAGCTTGCTTATATTCTCTTTTAGGCAACTTGGCAATGGCTACTGTCAACAACAACAACAACAACAACAAAAAAAGACCCTGAACAAGGATGACTCCTAGCTTAAGTTCCCTTTGTTCTTTGGGAACCTAAGAGTCAAGCCTCCTTTATTTATTCAATATTTGGCATGCCTATGCAAACCAGTACTAGATGGGGCAGAAGTGGTGAACATGGAGAAAGGGGGAGAAAAAAATTAAGTGGTGAAAATTCTGATAGCTGCACGTAGATGTTTGTCCCACTGGAGTAAGATGGAACAAAAGACGACTTTGCTAAGACAGCTACAGGGAAAATATTAAGTCTTTCATTTTTAGGTTATTATCCGTCTCCAAACCATTAGTCTCCCAGTTCCGCAGAAGACTGGAAGTTGTGCTTAAAAGAGAAGGCTCTGTATCCACATACATCAATTATTCCCATGATTCAAATTATTCTTTGCAAGTCAGCCAACCCCTGTTGACCTGGGGCTGAACTTCAGATAAATGACTTACAAGTAAAAGGGAACAGGATATGGAACAAATTCCCCCTAGCAATCCAGTCCACTGCAATGTAATACTGTTTCCAAATGGGAGACTTTGTATCCCATTCTCTAGTGTCCATGAACTAATCCCATTGACCATAAGCTGCTGTGATGGGAGAAGGTTACTATTTTTAAGCCTTTGCATCAGAAAGCACGCATCTTTCAAAAAAAAAAAAAAAAAAAAAAAAA